AACTACAAATTTTAATTGCTTTAATTGTAAAAAAAAATAATAAATAGAAAAAATATTTATGCCTAAGTTAACAAGTTTTCGACAATAAAACTACACTAAAAAATAGTAATTTAATTTTTTTAAGTGGCAAAAATGCTTACCTAATATCTATTCCAAATTGCTGTATAAATAAATCTTTTTTTATTTATGCCATTTTTCGACAATAAACTCTTAAAAAAGTGATTCATCTTTTTAGGTGGCAAAAAAATGCTTAATATTTGTTCCAATTGCTGTTAACAGTAAAAATTACAAGAAAAAAATCTGTTTATTGATTACACTTGATCAAAATAAAACAATAAAAAAAATATATAATAATTTACAATTATTTACAATAATTTACAATTTAAAAAATTATATAATATTTTTTTTGTAAAACTACAAATTTTAATTGTTTTAATTGTAAAAAAATAAAATATTTATGCCTAAATTATCAGTTTTTCTACATAAAAACTACACTAAAAAAACCAGTGATTTAATTTTTTAAACGGCAAAAATGCTTAATATCTATTCCAAATTGCGTGAAGGTCAAGCAAAATTTGCCGTAAAAAATATAACCTTTTTCTTTCTTAAAAGTAAATTTAAACTGATTTAATTTTTACTACTCAATAATGTCTTACTATCTGTTCCGAATTGCTGTGAAGCTCAATAAGATATCAAATATAATAAATTGCAGAAACAAAAATAAGATATTTATGACAATTTGAGCCGGATTTGAGAAGTAAACTCAAAAAGTAAATCACGTGACATGTCATTGGTTGAATTTAGATCACGTGACATATATTTTTATAGAAAAGTGATGTTTTATTTTACAAAAAAACTTTTTTTTATTATGTATATTTTTGTTTCAATTTATGACTTTGGGAAACCTTTTTTTCCCATCAGGCATTCCCTTCCACCATGCCCTTTTCGGCACCTCAACGAGCGAAATCTCCCTCAACGCCCTCAAACACTGTCGGCGTCGGAAAGCCCGAACCGTCTTCAGTGACCCTCAACTCACCGGTAAGCCAGTCGTTTCATCCTCCTCAAAAACCCTCAAACTATCGAAATCTACAGGTTTAGAAAAGCGTTTTTCCTCCCAACGATACCTCTCAACTCCTGAAAGAGTCGAATTGGCGAGTGCTTTGAGTCTCAGCGAAACACAAGTCAAAACTTGGTTCCAGAACCGACGGATGAAACACAAGAAACAAATGCGGAAGTTGCAAGAGGAAAAGGCGGCGACGAGCGGAAGCACAACGGAGAAAAATCAAAGAGGCGGTAAGATGAACAACACTCTAGATTTACAAAAAAACTAAAAATACACCAAAACACAAAAAAGTCAAGTAAGCATAATTTGATTCACCCGGTATATAAAAAATAATACCTACTTATTTATTTATTTATTTATGAAATAAAGAACAAATATATAAAAATTCAATGTAACAATTATTTTTTTACTACTATTTATACAGTATCACTAAAAAAGTTTGTAGTAATTTATACCTGACAAAAATATACCAAAACACAAAAAAGAGAAGTGGGCATAAAATTTGATTCACCCAGTATATAAAAAAATACCTACTTATTTATTTATTNAAAAATATACCAAAACACAAAAAAGAGAAGTGGGCATAAAATTTGATTCACCCAGTATATAAAAAAATACCTACTTATTTATTTATTTATGAAATCAAGAGCAAATATAAAAAAATCAATGTAACAATTAGTTTTTTTACTACTATTTATACAGTGTCACTAAAAAAGTTTGTAGTAATATATACCTGACAAAAATATACCAAAACACAAATATAAAAAAATTCAATGTAACAATTATTTTTTTTCTACTATTTATTCAGTGTCACTAAAAAAGTTTGTAGTAATATATAATAAAACACAAAAAAGTGAAGTGAGCATAAAATTTGATTCACCCGGTATTTAAAAAAATACCTACTTATTTATTTACTTATGAAATAAAGAGCAAATATAAAAAAAAACCCAATGTCACAATTATTTTTTTTACTACTATTTATACAGTGTCACTAAAAAAGTTTGTAATGTATACCTGACAATTGGTAATACAACACCAACTTGATTTTTTTGATAGCAAACGCGTATTGATTGAGGAAGACACCTCCGATTCCTTTTCCCCCACCTTAAACATCAATTAAGGCAAGTTCAGAGCGTAATGAAGTAAATTAGTGTAAGATGTCGCCGGTTGAGATCCTAAGATCGTGCCCACTTAAGAAACAAAATTACATAATAAAGTTTCGATAAGTTTCTCGGTAAAAGCAGGCGGCGACGACCGAAACAAAAATCATGATTTGACTTAATTGACGTTTAAACGTCACCACAATACATGTCTAATACGCATTTAATGACGTCCCGAAAGACTAAACGTCGCAATAATCGGCTTGTAACACAAATCTAGAGAGAGAAATATGAAACCGAATTGAAGTTGGCTTTTATTTAATAAAGTAATTTGATATTTGTAGTCTTTTCATGGCCGACCCGGCGCCATCTTAATGCAAATTACCAGGCTAACTTGATTAATTTGAGTTTAAGATAGTGGGCGGGGCTTGAGGTCGGTCACAAGAAACTGGAACTTATTAGAAACTAATACAGACTTTTTAGCTAAACTAAAGCTATTTCCAGTTATATAAAGATCGATTTTAGTTGGCTAAATTAACGAAAACTTAATTCAATTAGATGTTTTAACTAAAAATTTTAAAAAGCTAGTCGAAAAACTAACAAATTTAAAGTTTAAACTGAGTTTAGTAAGTAGCTAATAAAAACGGTTTATAGTTAAAAAATTAAAACTTAAAAA